CCTTTTTAAACCCTCTGCTTAAATAACAATTGTGTTTCATTGACCTGTGATAAACTTCTGACAACATGGAAACTTCATGAAAAGACATAAAAGGATTTTTCCTGCTTTGCAAGGAAAGAGTTGTAGGGGAAAACAAAAAAGGCTTATTTAATGTGTTATAAATTGCATGAAACATGTGATCCAATCAGGAGAAGGGTCTAATTTTCTTTGGTTTAAAATTTTATGTGTTAGCATCTTCTCTTATATTTTGCCTAATATGACACAAGAAGAGCATAATATTACTAGTCATAATTGTAGTTATCTTTTTAATAGTTAACTTGGTTGCAACTTTATTGGTAAATTTAAATCTAGCAGGATCGAATTCAAGGGGTTTCAACTGAGGGTTACTTCCCTTACCTCTAAGAGTTTCATTAATACTCAGTCCTGGACTATTCTTGGTATAACCTAACTATTTGCTTTACATTCATTTTTGTTATGTCTGAAGATTATTACATGTTATGTCTAAAATTTTTTTCTCACAAAGGACTGGGCTCATCCATTTTCAAAAATTAGAAAATAAAGTTAATCACTAAGTTTTGAGATTATTTTGTCTGGAGTTTTCTTTTGGGTTCACTTTTTTTTGCTTTGCATTACTTGATAACGAATTCCCATCGGGTCTTTCACTTGTGTGAATTATTATCAGTAATACATTAACCACGGCTTTCTTAAGTTTTATCATTTGCAGATGGTGCTTGGTGATGTCCTGGAGGTGCCTGCAATAAACAACAGGTCAGAGACTTTCCCCCCAAAAGGGACCCATAAAAAAGTCTATGCCAGGTGTTTGGACACAGATTTCTAAATGCCACTACTTATACCACTGGATTGAATTAAGATTTCCAGAATTCTTATGAAGAAGCTGATGAGTTCATGACTGCTGATCCAGGATACATGGTACAGAAATTAATTGCAGGACTGAGGGAACAAAAGGATTACTGTGGGTTTTATGTTGGGGGATATTACTTAATGTTTTAGTGTTTTGTTTCCTGGGCATAAGGAACCATTTCTTCTTTTCTCCAAAGCCATCAATACCTTAGAATAATTCAATAGGCTGTGGTTACGCAAACAGAGATGAAACATCATTTCTCTCTACCTATTTCCTCTGGAATTGGAAAGCTCTTAATGAGCATTCTTAATTTTTATGGCAATATATTTTTGGAAGTTCAATAAGAATTTGACCCCCTTGTTAACAGGACATAATTCAAAAATCTCAATTATGCAGCCAAGCTTTCATTAGAATGTCATAATTGAGAATGGTGCTCGGAGGATCACGTGTGAGCAGAACTCCCAGCAAGACCATTATATGATAAATTACCATTCTGGCTACACCTATGTAAATAATAATGAACAGTCATGTTTTAAATCAAGAAAAACTTTGCTTTGTGAGTGTCTTCTGATTGAGAGGGGGGTGACCATAGAGAGAAAGTTTGTTTCAATAGGAAATTATGACTACTCCTCGTGGGCTATCAGATTTTGGGTTTTGTTCATTGTCTAAGAAACCACAGACAACTAGTGAGTTTGTTTTCTACTTGCAGATTACAATTGCTCTTCTTGCAAAGTTTATGCTGTTCATTATGTATCTTTTCATAAACAATTACCCAAAAAGAAAATTTGGAACTGTGAGAGAGATTAAGACTTAAGGCCATCAAGAAATTAACTAAACTACTATCAAATCTGCATCTATTGAGAAAGAGCATAAATTGGCTATCCTATAACAGCCATAATTCCCTTAGTTACTGAAATTGGTTTAAACTATGTAAACATATATGTGTATTGTAAGGTTACAAATGATTACAGACAAAGTGGCCCCCTTAATAATATAGACAATGCTACCTTCTCTCTCTCTGAAATAATACAGAGAAAGGGAATCACATTATAAAATACATTAGCTCTTGGTTATTTATCTGCTTCCCACGAAAGAGTTCATAGTTTGGTAAAATAAAATGGTTGTGTGCTATATATTAATGACACCTAAGTGAAAGTACATTGGAGTACAGTTTAAGCTGAAGTTCAGGACTAGAGATGCAGTGCATTTTGCAGATACTCCTCATGCATCTTCTTAGGACTCATGGTCCCAGTTAAGAAATTTGGCTTCGTGCCCAAGACAAGCCTTTCAGATCATTGGCTTATACATTCTCCTCATCCTCATCTTTTATATTATTATCCAGCAACTAAGCTGCTTGGCGTCTGGGGCCTTAAAAGCTTGTGAGCAGCCATCTAAAGTACAGCAAATGGTCTCACTCCAACCAGAGGAACAATGAAGGTAAGAAGCTAAAGATCCAACAAAATTAACATATGTTCCACTAAAAGTTACCCCACAACCAGTACCTACAAGAACAGAAGAACCTACATTGGTGCCTGGCTAACTCTTAGTGATCAAAGATTCTAAGCAAATCATGATGAGGAGGGGTGAGACGTTAGAGAAAGAAATAGATAGCAGATATTTTGATTTTATTTTGAGATTTTCTTTCCCACGAAAACAAATATTCACTTTAAAGGAATCCGTGACAAAAATCACTCCACCAGCCATTTTTGTTTCACCTGATATCGCAGATCTTTTCTTTCCAGTTTGAAGCCAGGCTCACCAAATTTGAGTATCAAAAGATATGGCTGGGTGACAGCTGCCACGGCCTCCACCAGACTGAGTCCAGTACAGCTAGATGGTGCCCAGCTACCACCACTGTCTGCTCTGACCAGGATTACAACAGAGGGTTCTGGACAGACCTGGAGAAGGATGTAGAACAAAATTCTAACACACACAAAAAAGACCAGATTTACTGGCCTAAAAGAGTCTGGAGAAACCCCTAGAGTATGGCCCCCAGACACCCTTTTAGCTCAGTGGTGAAGTCACTTCCAAGGTGCACCGTTCAGCCGGGGATTGGATACCCCCATACAACAAGACAGGCCTGATGGGGCACAGCAGTCCAGAGACAAGGACTAGAAGGCAGAAGGGGACAGGAAAGCTGGTGATAGGGAACCCAAGGTTCAGAGAGTATAGTGTTTACATGTAGCGGGGTTGTTAACCATTGTCAGAGGGCAATATGTGTAGTGTTTAATGAGAAACTATTTTGTTCTGTAAACCTTCATTTAAAGTGAGAATAGCAGCACAACTGGAAGAATGTAATCCACCTCACTGAACGGTGCATGTAGAAATTTTTGAAATGGTGTGTCTTTCGCCATGTATTTTTTACCAAAAAAAAAAAAAAAGTCATGAAGGGGCAGGGCTGACATGTCTTGGGGTTGTTCATCAATGTCATACAACAATATGGGTGCTACGGTTTCATGAGAAAATATTTGTTCTGTAAACCTTCACCTAAAGTACAATAAAAAAAATTTAAAGGAGAAAAAAAGAGATATGGCTGGGTGGAAGGGCAGAGAGTATCTTGTGACTGATCTCAGTAAAAGGGGAGGGCAGGGTTCAATCAGCCGTGTTACCGTTAGTCGCTGGTTGATCTATATTTCCCCTCCTCTTCTCTTTGTAAACCCCATTGTACATAGCTTCTTCCACCCGTTTGACTTTCCTGAAATCAAAACTGCATCCCTATATTCATGCAGAATAACTGCTCAGAATAAAACTTTTGTGCAAATTTCAGTGAGTTTTATTTTTAACAATACTATTAGTTTTTTATTTATTAAAAATATATTATTTTCAAAACACATGAACAATAAAGCCTAAACATTTCAAATATCAAGAAAGTGCATAGCATGACCTTCAGGTCCAAGTTCCAACATTATAAGTGAAGTTTTCCTAAGTCAATCTACACACATAATGTGAAGCATTCTCTTTGAAGACCTATTATATTTATACTGTGAGAAATACAACATACTAGGTCCTTTTCTCTTCCTGGCTCTGGGGATATTAAACCCAGCTTTGGCTTCTCAATTATTATCATTTCATTGCAAAATTAAACAAGAAATCAGACAGAGATGACAATCCACATTTCTTAAGATATAAATACAATAGTTATAAAAGGGAACTGGCTTTTGATGGCTGGGAGTCAGGAAGATCCCAGTCAGGCCACAGGCATCAGACTTCATTGCTGTCCCCACCCCTTCTCTGACACACTCAGAGATCCTAAATCAAATGTTTTCCTCCACACCCTCAAACAGAGAATTGTGCAGTGTTTGATATACGACTTTTGGAAAAGGGTGTTTGGGATTGCTCAGATAATAAGGTCTTCAATGCACATGTAAAGGACTCTTCCTGATAAATACACAGAAGGCAATAAAGGTTCGTGGGATACAGAATGAGGCATTGTAAATTCATGGGACCAGGGCTTGGTTCTCTTTCTCCTTGCAAAATCTGGAAGCAATCATACGGAGACTGCAGATTTCAATGGCAGGGCCAAAGACTGCCAGGTGTTCCGCAGAATTCAGGAGCATTAAGGGAAGACCCATCAATGTGCTCCCCTCTTAATGAAACATAGGAAGATACTAACTTATGGCACTTTCATCTCTGAATTTATATTTCTATAAGTAACTATCTAGAAAGAGCATTAAATTTATTTTTTAACTTTCAGGAAAATAAGGTGAGGATGAGAATTCCCAGTTTAGTATGCCATACAGAGGTTGGCATACTATAAACAGACTACGTTTAAATGAAGTTGATATATATTATTTGGTGTTAAGTCAAATTTATTTAAATTTCTGCAGAGAAAACTTACAAGAATATGTACATAAAACTACATTATATTTAATATTCAAACATAGCTAATAAAATAAAAATATTCATAAAATTCTTTACCTTGATGCTTTATAATTTCAGGTGTAGGCACAGAAAGTCCATCAATTTTAAAACAACAGGGTTTCAAAGATATGTAAATTACATGGTAAGACACAATTCTAACGTTTTGCAGACCCCTGCTATTACCGTAGACAATTAGCAAAAAATGAGATAAAGTATCATTCTTAGCAATGCTGGACCTGCACTACAGCCTGCCCCCACCCCATGCCCCAAGGAACCCTTAAATAGGCTGCTGCTGACAGATATAACGATTTTTTGCCTCACACTTTTCACTCAAAGTTTCTCCACTTTGACGGTACGAAATGCAGTTCTTTGGATTTGAAAGTTGAGATATTGAAAATCTGTAAAGAAGAAGATAATGTTGACATGTAAGAAAAGGAAATGAGAATATTGAGGGATAGTGTTTTTTATTAAATAATACAATTTTTAAAGTATTTGAGAAGCTATTAACATATTAAGCATTCATTATTATTTTTTTCCATACAATAATGACAATTTTCATGACTTCAAGGCACAGTGTTACAGAAATCCTCAATACTCAATAGCATTGAGGCCAGGGATTTCTTTGTCTTTGTTGTTGTCTTTAATGGTTTTATTGGATGATATATGTCACTTCTATTTTGTTTAAAGATGGACCAGCTGATCTAGTCTAGGGAGACAAATCAAAGCATCTAATTTGCCATTGAATGATGTTGCAAGTTCCATGTTTATAATGAAAATAATATTCAAAGATGACATGGATACAGAAGGTAATCCCAGAATATTTGAAGCATGGGAGGATGCTGAGAATATTGTGCTCCCCCAGAATAAATGAGAAACGGGTATCACACTTTTGGGAACTACCTCTGTATACGTGCGCATATTTGCATGCATGTTCATATCTATGTATCTTTGCAAAAGCTAAAAAACAAAAAAATCATGTCAAAAGTTATGGGCGTAAAGACACCCACCTTCCTGTGACTTGGGCGTTAATCTGCGTGTTCTGGGTTGGGCTAACATTGTACTGTGCTGCACCGAACCTCTTTTCTAATCTCACGCCCTGGACGGGTCACCTTTGCCGCAGTGCTCCTGGACGTTACCTGCACTGTCTGGTCTCAGGATAAAATGACAAAGATAGAAAGGGCACCCGCAGGCCGCCAGAAACTTACAGATCCCGGGAGAGAGCAGAGCCGTCCTCCCACACCCAGGCGCCACGCGTTTCGTTATAAGAGAGTCCAATCCAGTAATAGCGTGGTTTAGATTTCAAAAAATCCTGCTTGGAAACAGAGACAAGCATATTAACCTAATTTTCATCTACTCAGCGATTAATGTACGTCAGACTTGGCCTGTCAATCACACAGACCAAAATCCTCTTTAACTTCTAATTTAGAAGGTGCAGTCACAGAGCTCCTCTGTCTCATTTATCAGGCCCATTCATTTATGAAGATAAAAATACCACAAAACCTCACTTCAATATGGACTGAAAATGTTATAAAGGTAGTTAGAGTTTCACAGAACACTTTCTTCATGGGGATCACCACTTACTGATCCAAATCAACAGTATTTTGAAGGATATGTCACGGATAGAATTTACTATAAACTCAGCACAGGTTCTGCATACAGCTAGAGAAATTTTCACTTTTTCTTATGAAGTGGACAATTTTATAATAATATCCTCTATAGTGGTTCCACATTATATCCCAAAGACATGACAAAAGGTGCATAATTACAAAATAAATTATAAATTCAACTAAAACCACTAAAAATTACAAAATCATTTAGTTGGTTCCTTGAATAAAATTAGTAAAAGTAGTAATCTAGCATTTCTTCTTGGAATTCTGACCAAAAATTTTCTTGCACTTTATTTAACATGTTGATTTGTTTCCCTAAGGTATAAATCTTTGAGGAATCTTCTGTGAGTTGTATAATGATTGATTCAAGATACAGGAAACTAATAGGTCATTTGTTCAAAAGTAACCACCTGTTTACTCTCCAATTAAAAACTTAAGTCAAAATATTCAGCGTAAAGAAAATCTAACACCTCTACAACAAAAAGACAAATAATCTGATTTAAAAATGGGCAAAGGAAATGAACAGACACTTCACCAAAGAAGACATTCAAGCGGCCAACAGACACATGAGGAAATGCTCGCGATCACCAGCCATTAGAGATATACAAATTACAACCACAATGAGATACAGTCTCACTCCTGCATTACTGGCATGAATCAAAAACCTAGAAATAACAAATGTTGAAGAGGCTGCAGGGAGATCAGAACTCTTATGCAGTGCTGGTAGGAATGCAAACTGATACAACCATTTTGGAAAACGATATGGCGCTTCCTTAGAAAGTTAGAAATAGAAATACCATACAATCCAGCAATCCCACTCCTAGGAATATATCCTAGAGAAATAAGAGCCGTCATCACAAGAATAGACATGCACACCCATGTTCATTGCAGCACTGTTCACACTAGCAAAAAGATGGAAACAACCTAGATGCCCATCAACAGATGAATGGATAAACAAACTATGGTACATGCACACAATGGAGTACTATGCAATGATAAAGAACAATGATGAATCTGTGAAGCATCTCATAACATGGATGAAACTGGAGGACATAATGTTGAGTGAAATAAGTCAATCACAAAAGGACAAATATTGTATGAGACCTCTATTGTAAAAAGCCATGAAAAAGTTTAGACACAAAAAGAAACAATCTTTGTTGGTTACTAGGGATGGGAGGGGTGTGGGAGAAATACTAAACAGATAATAGATAAGCGGTAACTTTGGTGAAGGGTAAGACAGTACACAATACAGGAGAAACCAGCACAACTTGTACAAGGAAAGGTCGTGGAAGCTCCATAGATACATCCAAACTCTCTAATGGTCTGAATTACTGGGCAGAGGGTTGTGGGAACCATCGTCTCAGGGAGGATCTGGCTCAATTGGCATAACACAGTTTATAAAGAAAATGTCCTACATTCTACCTTGATGAGTAGCGTCTCAAGTCTTAAGAGCCTGTGAGCAGCCATCTAAGATTCTCCACTGGGCTCACCCCCTCGGGAGAAGGTAAAAATAAGAAAACAAGATCCAAGGGAAAGATGAGTCCAAAGGACTGATGGACCACAGCTACCACGGCCTCCATCAGACTGAGTCCAGTACAACTAGATGGTGCCCGGCTACCACCACTGACTGGTCTGACGGGGATCACAACAGAAGGTTCTGGACAGAGCTGGAGAAAAATGTAGAACAATATTCTAACTCACAAAAAAAGACCAGACTTACTGGCCTGACAGAGGCGAGAGAAACCCCAAGAGTATGGCTCCCGGACACCCTTTAAGCTCAGTGATGAAGTCATTCCCGAGGTTCACACTTCAGCCAAAGATTAGACAGCCCCATAAAACAAAACAAGACTAAAGGGGCACACCAGCCCAGGTGCAACGACAAGAAGGCAGGAGGGGAATGGAAAGCTTGTAATAGGGAACCCAAGATTGAGAGGGGACAGTGTTGACACGTGGGGATGTTAAACATTGTCATAAAGCAATATGTGTCTTAAATGTTTAATGAGAAACTATTTGTTCTGTAACCTTCATCTAAAGTACAATGAAAAATAATAATAAAAAATAAAAAAAGATTCAGCTTATTTTGATGTTATAGTTTTCTAGGCCAAACAAAATGTGGGAAACCAAAATAAAGTACATGCCAATTCATCTCTGTTTTTCAGCCAAAGTAGACTGGAATTCTGAGAAGCACAGGAATTCCTACTTTCTGCCCAGGTTTTCCTTTGATTAGAAATGAAATAGCAGCTGCATTGGTACCCAATCCACTTCTCTGGACAAGAACAGCAGTCAGAATCTAAGGGAAAAAATCAAACATGATTGACGGCACTGAACATTTCAACATTTCAATGCTATCTACTCATTCAAAAGTCATTTCTTATTTATTCATTTTTCTACAAATATTCTGAGAGTTTACCATAAAGGTACACATGTGACCAAGTCAGATATGACCTTTTTCCTCAGGGAGATCATATTCTAGAGAAAGAGGCAGAATTATACAATTTCCAATCACCTATTAATTGCATTGAATAATAATTTTGGTAGGTATGCAAAAGAAGTTCCATATATTAAAACAGGGTGCAGCAGAAAATTAAATGGAGAAAGTTAGAAAAATCTTTTCTTTTATTAACAACTGAGCCAAAGCTGAGCTAAACTGTGTCAACAGGAGTTAAATAAATCAAAACCAAACCAAACCCAGTGTGGTTGAGCTGATTCTGACTCATAGCAACTTATATAGCACAGAGTTGATTTGATAACTCATAGGATTTACAAGGGTGTAATCTTTACGGAAGTAGACATCCACATCTTTCTCCTGAGGAGCTTCTGGTGGGTTCAAATTGCCGACCTTTAGGTTAGCAGCTAAGTGCTTAACCACTGCGTCACCAGAGCTCCTTAAATAATTCAAACAGAGATTTAAATGGAAAAAGCATTTTAGCATATTTCCTAAGTCCAAAAAAAAAAACAACGCAATGCATTGGTGCAATTCTGATATATATATTTTTCAAAAATCAAGATAAATAAAGCAATTAACTTCAAGTCCGATAATGCAGGTTATCAGAGAGAGTGTCTTCAGGGTTTCTTATCCTCAGGAATAAAAGTCATGGCACATGGCAGTCATTCAAATGGTCACCAAATGAATGGCTCCAAAGTTAAAATATGAATGAAGTTCTATAAGATTACGGAAGGTGAGGAGTGTATAAGAAAAATATTTAAGAATGTCTGACTCTCACTGGATAAGTAGGATTTAGGATTGCAGAAATGTGGGCAATAATTTCTGAGTCGCAGCTTCCAGCAGAAGCAAATGTAAATAGATAGGAAGGTATGGCCTAGGAGCAAACCCAGGCAGGTAATCAGGATTAGCTGTAATATTTACTGTTGTTTTTTTCTAATTTGTTGCTTAAGGATGAGCATTTCTATGGGAAAAAAAATAGCTGTCATTTCAAACTTAATATTTTCTGTATTACTTTAACATATAAGTGATGTACACTCCATGTTATTTAATCATTTTTACATAAGAGAAAAATGGAATGAGAATGTCTTGCAACTAGGGAAGTGAACTCATATGACTGCGTAATATTCCAACAAGCCGCGTGTGGGAATAACAAGAAACTGTCCATTTTTCTCTTCTACCAACAATAAGAAAACCCTGCTGGCATAGTGCTTAAGAGCTTTGTCTGCTAACCCAAAGGTTAGCAGTTCAAGTCCAACAATTGCTCCTTGGAAACACTATGGGGCAGTTCTACTCTGTCCTATAGGGTCACTATGAGTCGGAATCGACTCGAAGGCAATGGGTGTGGTTTGGTTTGAGTACCAACAACAAGGTTTCCAAAGCTTGGGGCCTACCTTCCTGGAGTCCTTTGGTGGGTCCTGGAGAGAATGCTATAAGAAATGATTAGAAATTCACATAATTAGGTTCAGACTTAAGTGTATCCACGAGATAATAAAATACTACACATCAGTAAAATGAAACCTGTCTTGCTAAATGGTTTTATCACACTTTCAATCTTCATAAGGACTTGCATGGAGAAACTCACACATTTTCACCAAAATTCCCAAAGTAGCCATCAACAAAAGACACACTACTCCTAAGATCGCGGAAATCAACCTCCATGGAGTGGTCTGAAAAACTGAAGAAAAATAGAGGTAAGGTGAACACTTAAACAACACACACAGGGACTGAATTTTTTAAAAACAGAAGTCAATTAGAACGGTTCCAAAAATATTTTTTTGATTTGATAAGATAGTCATTTTGCTAATGAAACTGCAGAACCGAAAACATTCCATTCAGAACTTTAACTAATACCACTGTCTTTGCCCAGTGTACTCTATTCTTCAGTGAGATTAGTCAGCCATTTACTGCTCTATCAATTCTGTCTCTAGAAGACAGTAAGTAAATTTACCATTTATTTCTTAAACTGGCAAATTGCATACAGTTCTGGGGTAAGAAGACAGCAAGAGGCTCCAATGTATGGTTTGTGAGCTTCCACAAGTGTCACTTTTATTCTCTCAACCAACGCACAAGGTAGAGAGTGTGATCGCCCTTAGGCAGATGAGAAAATTGAAAGTCCAAGAATAATGTTAACTTTTCATGGTGTCAAAGTGAGTAAATAGCCACATCAGAAAGCAAATTAAATCCTGTCCAGGCCCAGAGTCCTTCATTTAGCACATTCTGTCACTGTCACTGACAACAGCTCTATTCGGGAGTGTGCCCTTCTGCTCATCTTAACGCAGGCTCTGCTCTGAGAAATGTCTCCCTGCT